GGATGTTACTTTGACCCGGCTCCACAGAGTCTGTATAGACTGGGCGCTTCAGCAGAGCTTGTTGGTGCTATTAGCTTAATCTGATTCAATCAGGTATTAGATAAAAGCACCAAAAAATCCTCACTAAAGCGCATCATCTCTACAGATATTGGGAAATCCAGGTGCAACTAAGGCGCTGCCTCTTCTGGGCTTGCATTGCGCTTATGCCGAGTTTAAAGTAAAGCGTTGCTTTTTTTCCCCCACATCTGCAAGCAGCCATAGTATATACTGCAGAAGTAACACAAATGCCACAGCTACACAGCAGCATCTCAAGCTTTTGCTTCATGTTACCTGTTGTCCTGGGGAGACTAGCCATGTAAAGACTAGACAGAAAGCTCCTTTGCTGGCAGAGTGAATGGCTTTAGCTGCTCACTCAACACTAAAATTAACAATAGGATTATATCATGTCATTGCTGTTGTTTGAGAAAATGTTCTAATATGCAATTACATGGAAGTCATGGCCTTCAGTTCCCCCTAGTACAAGCATCACTTCAGAAGGCTTTTGCACAGGTATACGACATTCTAGTAAGCATGATGAAAATGTGCATAATAATCAGCACAAAGATAACTGTCAAGTGTCAAGGACAATGATATCATCTGGGTTTCTTTTCTAGACTTTACTAAGTCTAGTTGTAATCAGCACAATATCTTGTCAGTCTTTTTCTCCCAAATAAAAATCACATTTAATTTCCCTTGTAACTCAAGTACTGAATCTTATACTAATGTTTATAATAATGCTTTGAGAAAAAGAATGCTCCTATGGTTAAAGCAGTGGACTGGGATGCAGGAGATCAGGATTCTATTTCCAGCTCTGCCACAGACATCCTGTTAACCTTGGCTACATAGAACCCAGTTGTCATAGCTTCTCACTGCTCTTAGTATCTGAGCTAGCTAGATTAACTTGAATATGCCTACATATGCTACAATCTCACCTCCCAGGTGCACTGTAGGCATACCCTAAGGACCTTACTATCCCACAGAGAAAGCTACAGTGGAAAACATGTCTTGAGAAGTTTTTCGCAAATGCCACAGATCCTGTGGCATTTGTGCAGATGACAGGGGATTAGCAGGAGGTCAGTACTATTCATCCTGGGGATCTGTGCCTTTGTGTTGACGCTCAGTCTCTAGTAGCTCCTTACTTGCTCCCTTGCAGCCTGGCTCCAAAGAAGTCACACTGACAGAGCTCCTGTAGTTGGTGACTGTTCTGGTGCTCTCTGCAGTAGGATTCCCTCTGTCAAAGCTGTAGTCTAGTTCCAATCTTAGTTTGGCTAGGCAGGTGAAGAGTTACGAGGCATACTCCCTACCATTGGTCATTACCCCTCCCCACATGGACCTGGCACTGCTAAGAAAGAAGCATCTCCTTTCAATAAGGAGAGGGGAGTATACATAAAGGGCTGCCTCCATAGATGACTCTCTATGGAGCAATAAAGACACAAGCATTCTGTGCAAAGTTCTACTGACATTATAGACACAGATTCTATTTGCATAAACTATTATCCTTTTCAGTCAAGTGAAATATTTTTGTTGGGTACTGTCTCATACAAGAACTGAGGCAAAAAGGTGTCAAAGGCAAGCACTTATTGTCCCAATTCTCTGCCACAGTATATTGGCTTGGCTCTGTCCTGAGAAACCTCATATATTATTGCTGAAGACAATAATATAGCTTAATATCACCAGAAGAGAAACCTGGAAAGTCTAATGAATGCCTTTTCAAGAACACATGCACACACGCACACACATGCACGCATTTCCAAAGGCTGTTTCACTTCCATGTGAAAAAAAAAGTCTCCTACACTAGATTAGAACTACAGCCCACAACCTCAGAGACTAGCCAAAACGTGGAAAACACAGAGTAAAACTGGAAAATTATACAGTATTGGTATTCTACCAAAGTAAGTCTCTAAACGTATCACAAACACATTATGGGAAAGGAGATGTCAATTAAGAAAGCGTATGGATCTGGAAATTCAATATATAATGTGTAAGATTCTTGATTCATCCCATTTCCTTTGAAGATAATCACAAAACTCCCACTGATGTCACTGAAAATAGGAATGGACCAAAGATTCTCCAATACCAAGAAGAGATAATTCTATACCTCTGACACACATAGCATATTCGCAGACTATGTATACACAATAATCTAGTATTATGATATTATGTGACTGTACAAGCTACCAAAATAGCTTCCAGGTATGCTTTTTCATAACAGCCCATCACAGTAACTTGTGACAGTTTTTGATAAATAAATAAAGGAAAAATAAAATTATATCTGTGCGGTTTATGTAGGCATTTTTACTCCTTACATTTTTTATATGAAAATTTAGAATTAGCTACAGTCACAAACTGGGGGTTGGTACAAAGCAAACAAGAATGTGAATATTAGTTCAGAAACTCAAGCCACTGGTTCCCAGCAGTTTACCATGTAATAGTTCATTGTGATGTCTGCTTTTGACTTATCATTTAACACACTGAGATTTTGCTTTGTTTTTTCTGTTGTTTAGTTTGAAAAAGCAGCCACGAGTTTTCAGCATTCATCTCCACTGGCTGCGGGAAGTTCATCCCAGCCCTACTCTGTTCTTTAAGTAAATTGGCTTTGTAAAGAGAACTACTTGGAGAATGGATTCTAGTCCTCTCCGGCCCCTAATCCCCTAATCTGCAGGCAAAGAGCAGGCTCTCCACTGACATCACTCCCATAGCTGGTAGCTAAAAAAAGAGGTTCTCCCCACATAACTGCTAGTCAGGAGTGTATGTAATCAGCGGCTCCCTTTCAACTTTTTTACAACTTGTGCAGCCATTTATGAAAGCATTACCATTCTAACTGGCTAGCCTTTTACAGCCTCCATGTGCAGAGGGGCATGTGAATGACTGTGCAAGGCAGTAAAGAGTAGCGGTGTGCGACTGACCTTGTCTGTCAAGATTGCCTTATGTGACGTTGGCACAGAGTCCAGTTCTATGGCAACCAGGGAGCAAGAAGTCCTCTATTACTGTCAAGTAAGCAATAACCCAATAAGGGTTAGCAGGAGCCTGGACCCTAGCAGATGGACAAAGAGAAAAAAATAAATCTACTGAACAAAAATATTTTGTTAACTTTAAGGAGCAAAAGTGCAGTAACAAACACAGTCAAAGCAAGGGCAAAGTAAAATGAGTGCCTCTGAAGAGGCATAATGTGCTAAAATGTTCATAACCATTATGAATAATGCTACTCAGCACACCTGTTAAACCACTGAGAGGTATAATGGACATCTGCTTTTGGGAGTCTGACTCCAGCTTGCAGAATTCTCTTCTAGTTGGCTTTAAAGGCATCAGAATAAACAATTTCTCAGGACATTATGCTAAATAGGATTTTAGGCATTAACCTGGATTCTTCTAAGCAAAGATATTCTCAGCAGTGATACAGCTTGGAGCTCTAAATACTTTTTAATGCCCCAAGCACTTTAACTGATAGACAGCTAAGTAAATCAGTAGCAGTAGGCATAATTCCTTAAAGGGCTCTAAGAAGTCTATTTGCTGCCCCCTGCAACTCCTTTTAATCAGAAGCTGATCCCAGATCACACGAGATTCAATCAAAAAATCTATTGTTAGACTGATAACCTGAAATCAGTCTTTCATTTAGATACATTACATTTACTTAAATTTTTTTAACACTATACCTCATTATGTCAAGGATTCAGGTTCTGGCAATAAACAGCTGAAGTGAGGGCCAAGATCAAAATATATATTTAAAAAATATGCTGTTCATACCTTATGAGTATTTCCCTTCCCCAACCCTGGATTTGTTATTATCTATTTGCTATTAAACAAATTTACTTTTGCCTTTTGCTAGCAAAAGAAGTAAGGTGCTGCATTTCATGGCACAGTCAAACTCGAGAAGAAATGCTATCCTTTATTTTCTGCAAACATCAGATTTAGGGGCTGATGTTATTCCACCTAAAGCTAAGGGGAGAAGAATCAGGTCCTTGCTTGTTTCTAGTTTGTTGGAGGGGCTTTTTAACCCCTAATAAAATAGTCATTACTGAAGGCTGTATTATGTGACAATGCAATGAGATTGCTATTCTCAGGCTTTCATAGTGCTTGGAAACTAATGATTTAAGACTCAAAGTACCACCAGGAAATAGGGAGGCATTTTACAGATTGGTAAACTGAGCGAGATAAAGAGAGATCAAATGGTTTGCCAAGTCTACACAGCAATACAGTGGCAATTCAAGAAACAGGAGTTGGTCTGGGGAATCCCCACCGTGTGCATGGAAGGTGTCTCCAACCTATGGAAGTTTTCTTATCTCTCCTTAGATGCTCATGACAGCCTCATGCCAAGCATCTAACGACACCTGCACCATTTCACTGCAGCACCGACTCCCAAATGCAAGCAGCTTTGTCCCTACACCATTTTTTTCCAGATAACACGGCTCCCGCAGTGGTCCAAACCCCAAAACAGACAAGAGCTCTTTAATGATTTCTTTTTTAAGTAACTCTACAAATGAATATGACTCCAGCTGTCATGGGGACTCAAGGTGACCAGAGGTCTTTCACCATTACTTACCTTCAGCAGGTAGCAAGGAAGGAGCAAGATTATACAGGGAGTTCAAATAAAGTTTCCTGTCTTCTACATCTGTTGCTTTGCTGTTTGAGGCTGGAGCAAACAGAAGGACAGCCTTGCCCCCTGTCTTCAATAAGCCCTGATTCACCTGCAAGATACATGAGATGCTTACTGCGCATTGGCACTAGTGTGTCAGGGCAAAAACTGTGCTAAAAGCCTACTGCGCAGTGTTATTAAGCCAACGCACAGTCAGCATCACTAAATAACCATGCGCCTGCGCTGCTGCCCAGTAACTTTAAGTACTGTGCATGTAGTAAGTGCTTTATTAAGGAAGTACGAAACTAAATGTGCAGTATCTAAGGTATCCAGGTTGTAGCCGTATTGGGCTAGAGCAGCGGTTCCCAATGCAGTGCCCGCAGGCGCCATGGCACCCCCCAAGGTTTGTTCAGGTGCCTGCGTGCATTTTCACGATCAGCAAAAATCATGAGTCCAATAAAAAATGTCATATTGGTGCTTTGTCTTCTAAATCCAAGCATGCCCTTGGGCACATAAATGTTGGGAACCCCTGGTCTAGAGGCAAAAGGAATCAGGACTCGTGGTAGAGGCGATCTCTTTTATTGCCCCAACACTTGCAATTAAAGAATGTATGTATGTATGTATGTATTTATTGCAAAAATCTAGCAACAAAAGAGATCACCTCTCCCGCGGGTCCTGATTCCCGTAACTAAGGCGCGTTAAGGACCGTGTAGACGGCCTTCTGCCGAGGAGGGTCTTACCCGTTGCATCACCGGGAAGTTATACTATGAGCCTCTGCATTTCTCCAGCCCCGCCGGGTCCTGCAGGGAGCGGGGC